TATACCTCTTCTGTTGGTAGTTCGTCAGGCTTGGGCAAATAGAATCGTACTCAATCACTGAGCAATAACTGACTCACGATGACAGCTATGATTTATTCAGCTTAGCGTAGGTGCAAAAATTCACTTTTGAGTTTAGACCTATATATGGCTTACTAGTACTTAGCGTACTTTTATGATCCTGTCCAGGTATATTCTTTTCCCTACCTTTGTGCAAAGCCGTAATGCTGTGGGCAATAAAAATGCAGGGAGTGCTGGTGACGTGTTAGAAGATAACCCTGTTGGGAGGCTCAAGGTTTACGTCTATGATCTCCCCAGTAAATACAACAAGAAGCTGCTGAAGAAGGATCCTAGGTGCCTCAACCACATGTTTGCTGCGGAGATCTTCATGCACCGGTTCCTGTTGTCGAGCGCTGTCCGAACTTTTAATCCGGAAGAAGCGGATTGGTTCTACACGCCCGTGTACACCACATGTGATCTGACTCCTTCGGGTCTTCCCCTTCCCTTCAAATCTCCTCGCATGATGCGCAGCGCGATTGAGCTGATTGCCACAAACTGGCCTTACTGGAACAGATCAGAGGGTGCAGATCATTTCTTTGTCACACCACATGACTTTGGTGCTTGCTTCCATTATCAGGTACAAACACCACCAGTACATGAAGTAGCTGTAGCGTGCATTTATTTATGCTTCCACTAATAAAGGTTAGATGTTAAGCAATAATAAATAAGTACTTAATATCAGCATTTGAAACAAGTGGGACATATCTAATTGTGTCACAGAACATGGGGCATTGTGGGCATCAAGATTCTTGTTTCACTATGAATGAACTATGACTAAACTAATTCAGGCTCCACATGTTCTTCGTCCCTTGTAGAAGAAACATGCCTCAGGTTGGAAATTTTGTTAGTTGTAATACTGATATCCAGATTCATGGTTAACTAACTGCCTAATAAAAATGACAACTTGTTAAACTTCCAGTTGGCACCTTTAGCTACAGGCTGTTCCAACATCTCTATATTTCTGTAACACAAGCGTTCGATTTTTTCAGGAAGAGAAAGCAATCGGACGGGGAATCCTTCCCTTGCTTCAGCGTGCTACACTGGTTCAGACCTTTGGACAGAAGAACCATGTCTGCCTGAAGGACGGGTCCATCACAATCCCACCATTTGCACCTCCCCAGAAAATGCAGGCTCACCTTATTCCCGCAGACACCCCTCGGTCCATCTTCGTGTACTTCCGTGGTCTGTTCTATGACACCAGCAACGATCCTGAGGGTGGTTACTATGCGAGGTAAATCATCTATCTGTCTGCAAGTGATGCAGCTTCCCTCAATGTCTGCCTCTTTCTTCCCCAGTCAGTCATTGCAATACTGCGTCCTGGGTCTGATCTCTGAGCATTCTGCATGTTTTACTACAGAGGTGCTCGTGCATCAGTCTGGGAGAACTTCAAGAACAACCCGCTCTTTGACATCTCGACCGATCACCCACCGACTTACTACGAAGACATGCAGCGTTCAGTGTTCTGCTTGTGCCCATTGGGCTGGGCTCCATGGAGTCCCAGGCTGGTGGAGGCCGTGGTTTTTGGCTGCATCCCGGTGATCATCGCCGATGACATTGTCCTTCCCTTCGCGGACGCCATTCCGTGGGAGGAGATAGGTGTGTTTGTCGCCGAGGAGGATGTCCCCAAGCTGGACAGCATCCTGACGTCCATTCCAACAGATGTTATACTGAGGAAGCAGCGTCTTCTCGCGAACCCGTCGATGAAGCAGGCCATGCTGTTCCCCCAGCCTGCTCAGGCGGGAGATGCATTCCACCAGATCCTAAACGGCCTCGCGCGCAAGCTCCCGCACAGTGACAACGTCTTCTTGAAGCCCGGGGAGAGGGTCCTGAACTGGACCGCTGGACTGCCAGGCGACCTGAAGCCTTGGTAGCATCTGCAATATTACTAGAACTTTTTGTGAAAAAATTGAGGACATGGTGATATACATACGTGCTCCTTTAAGTTACCATGGCTGCATAGTGCTGACCACAAGCCAAATGTACATTTTTGTGTGTTCTTTCTTCTGTCCCTATAGCTGCTATACCTCCATACCATATATCTTCATTTCTCTCTCTCTTTTTTTTTTGCCCCTTTCACTAGGTGATGAGAATGTCAGCCTTGTGAATCATGTGGATACCATAGTCGAAATCTACAGCATTTTACTCACTCTGAATGTCTGAACTCATTCTCATTATCCCCCTGATCGAGCTGACAATTGCCATATATACTGCACATGGGCCGACAACGTGTTTGTGCTGCAAGATTTCGTTTCCTTTGCTTCCCTTTCATCATCTAATGCGAAGGTGAAACTACTTTTTGAAGCAAGATCATTGGGAAGCCTGTCTGATTTGCTGATGGCTGATGACTTATCAGGGCAGCATGTCGCTGCAGTCATTGTCTGAATGTTGCTGAGTTCTCAAGGAAGTTGCGACGTGAGCACAATAACCTAAAGAAAGATTGTTGGTTGTTAGTATAATATAAGTAGTGGGTGCTAGAAGGGTTAGAAATGGAGTCAACATCAGCACGTTTCCTTTTTTTCCGCCGATGAGGTGTATGAGCTAGTCCTTTTCTGAACTTGTATAAGTTGTACTACGATTTCGGAAGGTTCCTGACATGGTACCTTGACCAAATGACCAATAATTTATCCTGCAGTTAAGTATTATCAGTTGGTTTGTAGAAACTCTAATAATGTACTAGTTTGATGCATATAAATTTTGACTACCTGTTACTGTTAGTTGGTCAATACTTACAAAACTTGACCCTAATACTAGTTGTGAAAAGAAAAGGAGTAGCTTGAGCCATCAGCCATTGCTTGTACCCTCCACCTGCATGCGGTTGAGATGTCTGCGAACGAAACAGAAAGAAAGATTTATCATGGTGGAGAAATGGCAGACACGCATGGCATGGTTTGTCTATTCGGTTTAATTAGAGCATAATGGCAGCAATTTGTAACCGCAACGCATAAAGTTCAGTCTTGACTCGGCCTGCAGGATCCTAGGCAGAAAATGCTTTTCAGGCGCAATGGCACTAGGCGGCGGCGACAAACGCCCTCTGCTTATAAGCCATATTTTTTCCAGCCAACGAACAATATTTTTCTCTCACAATAAATCAGCCAACAATACTTTTAGTCATGGCTTATTAGCCAAGCGAACAGGACAAAAAGCAATTCGGTAAGGCGTGATGAGTGATTAGCAAGGTTAACCATCAGCAATTTGAGAAGAAGAAGATTGGATCGGGGGACCTAACACTGGGCGGACGAGGAGGAGAAATGGCGGAGGTCAAGCAGGCCAGATTAGGCCAAAGGGGAGAAGGAGAAGGAGAACCTGAAGATGAATAGGGTCGTGTTTAGTTGGAGGCCGATTCGGCGCCGCCGGATTCGGCGACACTGTTTATGCACTGTAGCGTTTTGTTTTTATTTGGTAATAATTGCCCAATCGTTGACTAATTAGGCTTAAAACGTTCGTCTCGTAGAGTACAACCAAACTGTGCAATTAGTTTTTGATTTCGTCAACATTTAGTACTCCATGCATGTACCATAAGTTTGATGTGACGAGAAATCTTCTTTTTGCATAGTGCTAAATTCTGGAAAATGGGGGAACTAAACATGGCCTAGATGATGAATGAATTGATGATGCTGCATGAATTGTACTATTGTGCAGAAGCAAACACGCAAAGAAAAGAAGGTGAAGACGCAGCAGCGGCAGGCGGCAGCATGCATGCATATACCATGCTAGTAGGTCCCAGCTGCAGTGCTGCACCGACAGTGTCTTAACAGTGGCACGAGGCAGCTACTGCGAGTAGTTATTGGTACTGGTACCAAAGAAAAGGACAGGAAACGAAAGGAAGAAAGGGATATGGGTGGGTTGGATTTTTGGATTACCATAAGCATAGAAAAGTAGCAGCAGCTAGCTAGTGATATGATAATAACCCCCGTTCCGGCCTGGCCTGATCGACGACGACGAACGCTCCGTTTCATCAGCTCGTTAACCTCATTCACCCGCCGCCAAAATAATTACTTGGACGCCATCTTATTCATACGGGTGCCGCGAGCTTTTTACTAGAAATTCACCCTGTATGTACGTAGTTCATCAAGATCCAGCCATAATCTTAGCAGTTCGATAACGATGAAGCCTTTTTTTTTCCGAAATGATAGTAATGACGCTGATCAGACAGCTCTGACAAAACACAAAAGAAAAACACCCTAAAAATTTCCATAAACTCCATGGATTATTTTGGGCTAAAGATACTTCCTCCGTTCGGAAAAAAAAAATATAATCCTAGCTTTGAGCTAGCTAGGACGCACGCGCCGTGTTCAGATTCGAAGGCAGGATTGCTTTTTTTTTTAAAGGAAGGAGGGATACTCATCACAGCTGGACACTGACAGGCAGTAGCGACATGTCCAAATGGCGCGTAGTACTAACAGGAGTGTTCGGCTGCTGGGTAAGCCAGCCGTTCGGCTGTGGCTGCTGCCAGCGCAAGAGAGGAAAGTACTGTAGGTACAGTGCGAAACAGTGCGAATAAGCCGGCCAACCACTCTTGACTCGATGAGGGCAACCTGGCACCCACCACCTCGTCGTCCTCTGCTGCCTGCTGTCCTCTCCTCACTCCCCTCCACTCCACCGACAGCTCGTCACTGACGGCGACGGCCCGCAAGCCACCGCCATCATCGCCACTCGCCCACTCCGCCGCTCGCTCCCACTGTCCCACACCTGTGCGTGTGCCATCCCATCATCCCTTTTGACTCCTCAGCTCGCCCTCCCTCTCGTCACTCGTCACCACCTCACTGTCCGGGTGTCCCTGTCCCTGCCTTCACAGCAGCATCAATCCCACGAGCATCCTGCTGCTTCCCCGGTCGGTTGCCCCCATCCTCCGAAGCCAGCCTCGCCTCGATCTCCCCGTTCCTCGTGTACCGACGGAGGGTGGCGGGCGACTAATGGGGACGGGGGTGGGGAGCGCGCGGGCGATGGCCGCCGCGCTCGCCGTCTTGCTTCTCGCCTGCTCTGGCGCCGTCGCTGTCGCCAGGGCGCAGGACACCGAGCGGATCGAAGGTACGCCGCCCGGGCCTCGCTCGCTCTCCTTTCCTCATCTTGCTTGCTCCACGCCCAGATTACGCGTTGCCTCTCTCCCTTCCTGCCTCTCGACGCGCGCCGGTCAGCCGGTGGTTGCAAATGGTGAAATGGCTCTGCCGCCGCCGCCGCCGCCGCTGCGATTGGAACTGGAACCCTATGAAGCAGCAGCTTTAGCCACACGAGCGTGCAGGCACAGATCTTCCGTTGGATCAGCTCCTCGCTTAGGCGGTTCTACGCTTTCCTTCGCCTTGTCCACGATTCCAAGGAACTAGCGGTCGCACTCAGTAGTCACTTGTCAGTTCTGCTCACTGTGCGCGATGAAATCCCATCCCCCGGCTGGGCAGTTGACACAATTGACAATTGCACGTGCTTCAAGACCCTCAGGTCTAGTGACCATGTGTCTTCTCTGCATACTGCATTGTGTTGCGTGCTCTCAAATCATGTGCATCTGAGCAATGGGTAATATAAATCCTGCCTTGCCTTGCCTATGCTGCCTCAGCGGCTGAGCTTCACTGCACAAGTGTATTTGATTATTTCCCAAGTATATATGGCCAGGCCATGTCAAGTAGCAAGTTTTTTACTAAATAAGCAAGAGCACCTCAGGCAGTAGAAACTAGTACAGATTAGCAAACTTAACTGAATGTTTAATAGCTACTCCCTCCGGTCAGCAAAAGATGACGTTTCAGACAGCGGAACTGATATACAAGCAAGTCAAAAATCATGTCTGGAACCTCAACTTTAGTTGACCGGTGGTACTACAATATGAATTATCTATCCTTTTGGGTTGGAGTTCACTAATTAAAAATACTGACCTTCTTGACCCAATATAGCTACATCCTACTAAAATTAATTCTGCTTACCAGTAGTAAACTTTGGATTGTAAGGCTCATCGAAATTCATAGTAAATTGATTGCTGTGGCTACTGGTTAGTATAGCTTCAACTATGCATTGCAGTGAAAGTGTAATGGCTTTGAAATTAGGATTGTGGTGTTACAGTTCAGATTTATCACATTTTCTTTGCGGTCGTGATTAAATTTCAGGAAGTGCTGGTGATGTGCTCGAAGATGATCCCGTTGGGAGGCTCAAGGTGTATGTCTACGAGTTGCCGACCAAGTACAACAAGAAGATGGTGGCTAAAGATTCTCGGTGTCTCAGCCACATGTTTGCTGCAGAGATCTTCATGCACCGCTTCCTGTTGTCTAGTGCGATCAGGACTTTAAATCCAGAAGAAGCTGATTGGTTCTATACCCCAGTATACACCACATGTGATCTCACACCATGGGGTCATCCCTTGCCCTTCAAGTCTCCACGAATAATGAGAAGCGCGATTCAGTTCATTTCCAATCGTTGGCCATACTGGAACAGGACAGAGGGAGCAGATCACTTCTTTGTTGTGCCACATGACTTTGGTGCATGCTTCCATTACCAGGTAGATGTAGAGCCATAATAAACCATGAATTCTCGGATGTATTGCCAATGCAGTGTGAAATGAACCTAGCCTGGAAACTCATAAAATGGAATTTGAGACCACTCATTTCGCGATGCACAGTCTTTCTGTCCTTCTATTCATATTTGCTCATAGGATCATCATTCATCTAATGTCGCTCAAAATACCAATTGTTCAGGAAGAGAAGGCTATCGAGCGAGGAGTCCTTCCATTGCTTCGCCGTGCTACCCTAGTCCAGACTTTTGGGCAGAAGGATCATGTCTGCTTAAAGGAAGGCTCCGTCACCATCCCGCCATATGCTCCTCCTCAGAAGATGAAAACCCACCTTGTTCCCCCAGGAACCCCTAGGTCGATCTTTGTCTATTTCCGCGGTTTATTCTATGACACTGCAAATGATCCTGAGGGTGGTTACTATGCAAGGTACGCACCTTAATTACACGCCCTAACAAGAAGACTTAATGAACCATTGAATCAAGAGTCCTGATGTACCTACCGTGTACAATGCAGGGGTGCCCGTGCATCAGTATGGGAGAACTTCAAGAACAACCCACTCTTCGACATCTCAACAGACCACCCACCAACCTACTATGAGGACATGCAGCGTGCCGTCTTCTGCCTGTGCCCACTGGGCTGGGCCCCATGGAGCCCCCGTTTGGTGGAGGCGGTGGTGTTCGGCTGCATCCCAGTGATCATCGCCGACGACATCGTCCTTCCCTTTGCGGATGCGATCCCATGGGAGGAGATTGGTGTCTTTGTGGCTGAGGACGACGTCCCGAAGCTGGACACCATCCTGACATCCATACCGATGGAGGTGATCCTCCGGAAGCAGAGGCTCCTCGCGAATCCATCCATGAAGCAGGCCATGCTGTTCCCGCAGCCTGCCCAGCCCGGGGACGCCTTCCACCAGATCCTGAACGGGCTGGCGCGGAAGCTGCCGCACGGCGAGGGCGTGTTCCTGAAGCCCGGGCAGAAGGTGCTGAACTGGACCGAAGGCCCCCCGTGGCGACCTGAAGCCGTGGTAGGTGTAATGGCATGGCACCGTCAGCATGGCTGCTGTTCTTGTGTACATGGCACAGGCGCACAGCACAACCAGATGAGATGCTGATCGACGACGACGACGATGAGTGCTCCCATGCCACTATAAAATGTAAATGTAAAGCATCTTCCTGCCTAGTGCCCACCAGGACCTTTGCTTCTTTTTGAGGCGATGTGTCTGCTTTGCCTGTATGGCAGTTTCTGTTTTGACCTTTATTTTAGCGTTAGCCTATTACAGATTGCTGATCATGTAATGTATGGCTGTTTTATTATATTAAGTTATACAGTTAATGGGGGGAGAAAATAAGGTTAACTTAACCCCAATCCATGTAACTGCTAATGGTGACGTGTTTCAGTCCTGAATGTTAAATGAAAATTGTACCATGTCTGTTCTTGGTGTGGTAGCAAGCAAAAGATTTCGCCGAGATGTTTGGGATTGGTAAGAGAAATGAGCATAAATCAAGCCCCCTGCCAATCCTCCGTAGATCTAAATCCAATAGATAGATGTTTGGGCAAAAGTGGCATGAACATGCACGATTGTCCCGAGGATTGTAGTGAGAGTGAGAAGGATTCATGCAACAGGGCCGTCGTCCAAGGTTTTCATATTAACGAATTTTGGCTTATAACCACTTTGGCCAAATTTGGAAATCTAATCCCTCCGAGATCCTGAACTTTTTCTCAGCCATCCATAGAGTTAACATCTTAGTTCTTTATAAGGGGCTTTTCGTCCATGGTTTTTGCTCTCCCTTGTTTTCGAAGTAGGCCTTCGTCTATAACTATAACCACTACTGTGGGGACTCAATTCTCCTAATTCAAAGTTCTAAAACGGCCATGGTATGAAGGCCGAGGGGCGGACCTAGGTTATGTCGAGTGATGGCACATGCCGCCACTCAAAGGTCCCGTTCGCTTTGCTAAAAAAAACAAGCCGAAACACTGTTCTGGTTGATTTGTTGGGTGAGAAAAACACTGTTCCGGCTGAAAAAACAAGCTGCAAAAGACGAATTATAAGAGAAGCGAACATGACCAAAATTTACTAGTAGTGATCTATTCCAATTCTTTTACACAAATGAATCATGAGGTCCTCGCATATCATCAAACACAAGCCTGACTTGATAATTATATATTCAATGTGGTTCTAATCATTTTCTTCTCTAGATCCGCCGCTGGTACTTCCATTCTTTCGGTACAGGAGTGAGGAAGCAAAAAGCCCTCTCGCCATCCACAACTTCTCAAGATGGGGTACAGGAGAAGGAAGGAATACAGTGAAGTAAGACTAAATGAAATTAGTGTATCAAAAGCGGGGATAGCTCAGTTGGGAGAGCGTCAGACTGAAGATCTGAAGGTCGCGTGTTCGATCCACGCTCACCGCAGATGATTTTTTTATTTACCCATTTTGTCTTTTTTATTTACCCATTTTGTCTTTCAGTACGTGCACTCTTTTTTGTGCCATTTTTTTTTTCTCATTCACCCATTTTACTGTGTTTCAGTGCACTCATTTTGTCTTTGAGTACGTGCACTCTTTTTGAGCCATTTTTTTTCTCATTCACCCATTTTACTGTCTTTCAGTGCACTCTTGTTTGTGCCATTTCCTTTAGCTTGTGTTTTTTTGTTGTAACAAGACTAGACGAATCTAAGACCAATTCATTCTAAATCAGTTCAAGACTTGCAAAGCCTCTCATGTTATGTTCTTGATTGACTAATCCCAGTTCCAGTCTTGACGAGATCAGTGAAGTGTGACCTATCACAAAAAGGATCATGTTGGAATAGTTTGCGCAACTCGTCAATTGCTACGATGTTTGCTCACCCTGGCCTAATTTATACAAATGGCTAGAAATAAATGACATGGTTAGCATACTGTTTGTGAGTTGAAATTACTTGTCAAACTAGGGATTGCCAAATAGAGTCTAAGGGTTTGTTTGGATAGAAGAAATTTTGGAGTTTTGAAAATTGCAGTGTTTATAGAACCATAGTTTTTGTAAAGTTTTGGAAATGCCATCGAGACTCTCTTTTTTTCTTGGTAGAGCAAAACACAACCTGCGTGCTCCTCTTTTTTTCTTGGCACGCGGCTTTCTTCTCCGGATGCACTCTCCTTTTGTTTGCATCTCTTAAGTTCTCCTTATAGGAATAGAATCATGGATTTGTGTAGTATCAGACGAAGGATCACTACCGAAATTATATCTAAATGCCGGGAGCAAACTCATCATCATCTACTTGCTTTTGTTGGATGAAATTCCCCACACTGGGACAGCTGTTGAACCAGAGCGTTTGAATGCCTAGACCAGTACTCATGGATAGCGATGAAAACGGATACGATACAAACGGATATCATTCATATTACATTTGTTTTTATATTTCTCTTTTGATTCGGATTCGAATATGGATAGCGTCAACCATGCTGGATAGGATATGATTGGATATCGACATCATAAATATGCGATTTGAGTATTCGGATACAGATACGGTATCGGATGTTGAATATCCGAATTCGGATACAGACATATTTGAACCCTCTAAACGGATTCGATTTCGAATACGGTTGAAAAATATCCGTACCATTTTTCACCCATACTCATGGATGACTCGAGATGTAAAAGTAGAGTTACGATTAATCTGAATATAAGGTTTTGTTTGATCCAATTAGAATGAAAAACTATGGCAAGATTAGAAACAAAAGCAAGTATGATTCGATGAAGCATAAGTTTGGCTGTTCATCATATCATTATATTACTATTACTATATATACTATTATCTTAAGGATGTTATACGTTCTTGCTATGTACGAGTAACAGGCATGTTTATCATAGTTTGAGATATGGATATGATAATAAATAACTTCATACCCCACCGATTTTTATCCCACCTAGGTGGTTGGGTATAACTCTGGGCATAATTAACTGAAGACCAAAGATCGAACCGAAAAGACCGAGACCGAGACCGAAAAGACCGAGACCGAAAAGTTCGGTCATGAGTTCGGTCCTGGCTCCCAACTAACCGAAGTAACCGATAGAAGTTCGGTCATATGTGTCGGTTAACCGAAGTGACCGAACTGACCGTAGTTCTGTAGACTTCGTTCGTAATGTCATTATTTGTGATTGTGATTTGTGAGAACTGAGAAAGTTGTGTGCTAGAACTTGTCATAATAATGTGTGGTTTGTTTTATATATTGTGTTGTTATTTTTTTTGCCTTCAAATAGCAAGCATGCTGTTGAAAATTGCTATAGATTCTGCTATTGTTTGTGGCTGCTACTCAGGTCCGGTTAGTTCGGTCGTGACCGAGACCGAACCGAACTAACCGAGACCGAACTTCCTCGGTCTTTGTTTTTTGCAAAGACCGATCGGTCCCAGCTTTCTGATGACCGAACTGACCGAATGACCGAGGAACCGAACCGATCGGTTCGGTCTGACCGAATGCCCAGGGTGAGTTGGGTATGGGTGTGAAATAGGTTATGACTTGCGAAATTACCAAATTGTCCCTAGACACATTCCATGGGCATTTTAGTCTACTATACCCATTGATCCTTGATCCACATCCAATATGGCCCAATAGGGAATATGGAAAAAGTAACCACTCCCTTCGTTATAAATTATTGACTTTTAACTTTTTTTTAATATAAACTTTTGTTATGCTCTTATACGCAACAAAGATATGTAGAAAAGCTAAAAACTTTTATAATTTGGAAGGAGATAGTACTGTGCTACTAGTAAAATCCTGAAACCTCCATCAACGTTTCCTTTCCCTTCCCCATTCACCGCCTGCCTTTTCTTTCCTCCTGCGTCCGCCCTGCGAGCGCGCACCCGCTCTCGTGACGCTACTGGCGACCGCCGCCGCCGCCCTACGCCACGTGCTCGGCAGCTCACCCGAGCTTGTTGTGGCAGTGAACCCGTCTCCCACAGGCACAGCCACGCAGCACCAAAAACCCTAACACCAACTCTAAACCCTCCCGCCTCCGGCCTCCCCACACTCCATCGCGGGCTCGCGGGTCCGGCTAATCGTGCCAACCCTCCCCCCTCCCCGCCCACCGCCGTGGCAAGATTCAGGGCGCGGGAGTCGGCGGCGTCGTCCGAGATGCCGTCCTTCTCTTCCGGCGCCTCACCGCAGAAGCAGCAGCAATTCGCGAGGTGCCAACTCTTATCTCGTCGAAGCTGACACGCTGTTCTCTTCCGATTGTTTCATTCGTTGGCCTGGGGATTGAGCCCTTTGTGTTGGTTGGCTTGCTGCAGATGGAGACAGCTGATTCGGCAACAGCGGAAGTCGCTCCCCATTGCGTCAGGTTTGCCTGCTGAACTTTTAGATGTCTGTTCGCTGTGATACTTTTTGGGGTGTTAGCTCAGGGAGCTGAAAGTTTGTTGTTTGTTGTTGGTTCAGTGGAGAAGAGGCTAGTTGAGGAGGTGAGGAAGAACGACACACTGATCATTGTTGGCGAGACTGGGAGTGGCAAAACTACTCGTAAGTCTGTTTCTGTGTTCCCCTTTTTCACAATTGTTGCTTGGATGAAGTAATTGATAGAAGCATGCCGCTTTCTGAAACTTTTGGTTGTTATTAGTGTGAATAGGCTCTGATTCGGATGTAACTGTTTTGGCCTTTTGGGCGTAAGTTATTGAAAGTGGCGCTGTGGATTGCTTGTGTTTGTTGGTTTGGAAATATTTGTATTCAGTCACATTCCACTATTACAGTATTAACTAAAGGGCTATTGCAGAAGTGAAATGGACTCTTCCTGCTGTAATCTTATTGTAATGTCGTTTCCAAGTGGGATTGCTTGCTTACTTAAAGTTATTCTTAGGTTTTGTACAGATTGTTTGACAAAAACAACATGTTACAAAATCAGTTTGTTTACATATTCATCTGTAATTGCAGAAACATACATTACTGTGTATTTTTTCTCTCTCTTTTTTTTCTACTTTGATTCTTTGAGTAAACAACATTTTCTTTAATTTGGTCATGCAGAGCTTCCACAATTTTTGTACGATGGTGGGTTTTGTCAGGATGGTAAAGTCATTGGCATCACTCAGCCTCGGAGAGTTGCAGCTGTTACAGTAGCAAAGCGTGTAGCGGAGGAATGCAATGACCAGCTTGGCAAAAAGGTTGGATACTCAATCAGATTTGATGACTCCACATCCAATGCAACAAGGATTAAGTACATGACTGATGGTTTGCTTCTGAGGTATTGATGCGTCACTGCTTTGTTGCTTGTTTGATAACCATTTGTTTTGTTGGGATGCACGTTCTTTTGATCTTCTTTGATGTGGTAATGGCCTTTTTAGTGAGCAATTTGAGAACCAAAAGGTTTAGGTTCCTCGTCTCAACTGTTAAACCCCACCACCCCATCCCAATAATTTAAGTTCCAAGAATGATGGGGTATGTTTTTGGAAGGTGTACACATACATGATATGCACTGCAGCCTGCAGGTCTCCTTTTTATATGTACAATCCCATATATAGTTGTTTTAGGAAGTAGGAACTGGAGAACAGAAGGCGTTGATACATAATTCCATTTTTCTCTCATAATGTTCTTTTTATTTTGTACTTTCAAGCAACTCTTATATTTTAGCAATTTCCCATGGTAGCTGTCCATACACCTGCATTGAAATGTTTAGCACAATGTGGATTTTTTTCTGAGTTTGTTTAAACCTTCTAAAGTGAATTTTCCATTCAATTATACCATATCATTTTACATACCGATATCTGTGGCAATAGAACGGCATGGGTAAATCTACATTTATTTCTTTTGTTTGATGCATGAATTTCCCTTTTCTAATTGAAAGATTACTTTGGATTTTCAGGGAAGCACTTTTGGATCCACTCTTGTCTAAGTACAGTGTTATAATTGTTGATGAGGCTCATGAAAGAACAGTTCATACTGATGTCTTGTTGGGTTTGCTGAAAAAAGTGCAACATTCCCGAGCTAATGCCAATAAAAATGGGAAGACTTTGCCTGATGTACAGGGCCATTCTCAAAATTTAACTCTTAAGGAATGCCAGGGAATAAGATGTGCTCCTCTAAAGCTGATAATTATGTCTGCTAGTTTGGATGCTAAGTGTTTTTCTGATTATTTTGGTGGTGCTAAAGCTGTACATATTCAAGGTCGGCAATATCCGGTCGACATACTATATACTTATCAGCCCGAGTCGGATTATATGGATGCCACACTAGTTACTATCTTTCAGGTGAGCACCATCCTTTTGCACCATGCATCTGTAGTTGGCTTACAGACAAAGAAAGAAAATAAAAGTCTACATAAATGGGACTTCAGAAAGAAATGGAAAAATGCTTCAGAAAACATGATAAGTGAATATATAGAATCATAATGATGACTAATTTCTTGCATAACCTACTATCCAACTGTGACTCAATGCATCCTTCTTTTTCTGTATAAACTTCACTTTTAGATGTTTGTTTTGATAGATCCATTTGGAGGAAGGGCCTGGAGACATTCTCGCATTTCTAACTGGCCAAGAGGAGATTGAATCACTGGAGAGACTTATTCATGAGCGTGCTCGTTTATTTCCACCAGAAAGAAGTAAGATATGGGTTACACCTATATATTCATCTCTCCCATCAGAACAGCAAATGAATGCTTTTAAGCCAGCACCAGCTGGAACCCGCAAGGTAAACATCAATTGTGTACTGATGGGACTGAACTCGTCATGTTTTAATAGGATCCTTCTTAGAAGAATTGCATAGCTCCATTTTTGTTTTTATATGCTACTACCTCAGATTACAAATCTAGGTCATTTTAGCCTTCTCAAGTATTCTCTAAATACAGGTCATCCTAGAACTAATATACACTTCTTACCCTTTGCTTCCCTCCTTTCCCCTGCTTAATAAATGTCACTACCTCTCACAAATGAATAAGCCATCTTCCCAATGCAGTATAAATGAAGGTCACCAAGGTTGTTTGACCCTCTTCCTTAAATCTTTATTCACAAGTCTAAAATGGCCTATATATGGAAACAGAGGGAGTATCATGGATTAAACATTTTTTTTATGAAGGAATCATATAGTGTTGTTTGTTTTCCTAGTTGATGAAACCTTCTTGTTACATGGAGATTAAGGTCAATTATTTCATTTTTCTGCAGTTAATTAGTTGTCATCTGAAGGGCGGGCCTGGTGCAAGCGGTAGAGTCTTACCGCCTGTGACCGGAAGGTCCCGGGTTCGAGTCGCGGTCTCCTCGCATTGCACAGGCGAGGGTAAGGCTTGCCACTAACACCCTTCCCCAGACCCCGCACAGAGCGGGAGCTCTCTGCACTGGGTATGCCCTTTTTTTAATTAGTTGTCATCTATATATGTGAAAAAATCATGCCCTCTATAATCAGATGGATGATTAGTAATGTCCATATATTGATAGTCTATCTGAAAATCCTTTGCAAGCTTTAAACAAAGCTCTGCACGTGTTTCATATTCCAAAAATGTCTGTAGGTTCCTTTAGTGCTAACGCGATACTACTATACGCTACGTGACCTTTTGTTAACTAATGCCATTTTTTCCCCTCAAACACGCAGGAGAGCTGCGTATCTTTGTATTAAAAAAGAAGAGGAAGGGGTAGGAAAACCCTGAGTACAGGATTGATCTTGCCATTATAAAGTGAAATACAGAATTGATCTTGCTATTGTTTGTCCTCTGGGTAAACAATGTTGTAATCAAGATCAACTATAAAATGAAAACTGTTAAATGTCATTTGATCATTTTGCTTGCCCCTAATAAATGTGAAAAGAGCACACTTTAAGGTCACTATGAACCAAAGTGTTAGAATGGCAATATCCTAGCCATTACTAGTCTTCTTATCTCAGCCATTGTAGGCTAGATTAGGGGACATTACAACAGCAGCAACAACAACAACAACAACAAAGCCTTTAAGTTCCAAACAAGTTGGGGTAGGCTAGAGTTGAAACCCAGCAGAAGGGGACATTAGAACATTTTAATTCTTTTCCTTACATGTACACTCACAAAGGCCATAATATTAGGTGCAGATGAAATTTTTTACATTTGTTTTAGGCTACTGTTCTTGAATATTGGCGTTTGTGACTAAAATTATACTTTTAATAAGATAGTGCTGTTTTCGTGTTCTATTGTTCTTCCCATGCAGATTCAATCTTCTCCAAGGTTCATTTAGTAATTTGTTTTCCTTCGTAACCATTTTCAGTGTTGCACTTACTCTTGAAAGTCCCGCACCACAGTCTGTTAAGCAAGTTTGACTTTTTGCTGATTTGCCTCTGCTAGGTAGTTCTAGCTACAAATATTGCTGAGACGTCAGTAACAATACCTGGCATCAAATATGTCATAGATCCTGGGATGGTAAAAGCTCGTGCTTACAATCCTGTGACCGGAATGGAATCACTAATTATCATCCCAGTCTCTAAAGCACAGGCTCTTCAAAGGAGGTATATGTATCTTGCTTTTTTATTTTTCATGCCTAAATATGAGGTCACAGAGTTCATGCAGTCTATTAAGGGGCGGTTGTCAGCATGCGCATGGGGTAGTGGTAGAATGAATCTCCATGTGATGACTGAGTGTTCTGTATCTTATTTCTTATATCTGTTGCATATGGTTCTGCTAATAAGTCATATGGGCACTTTGCAGATATTCAACCATATAAATCAATACTTGTCCCTTTTTATTTGCATGCCTTTCTAACATCCTCATTGTACCCTTAGTGGTCGTGCTGGACGTGAGGGACCAGGGAAGTGCTTCCGATTGTTCCAAGAAAGTGAGTTTGATAAACTGGTGGATTCTACTGTGCCTGAGATCAAGCGGTGTAACCTCTCAAATGTTGTTCTGCAACTCAAGGCTCTTGGAATTGATGACATCATAGGTTTCGATTTTATGGAGAAACCATCAAGGTAACTTTTTTTAAGTCTGCTTCTATGTAAAAGAAAATGCTCTGAGTCATTTTTACTCTGTGTGTTTTTGTTCTTGAATTTTATACTGGACTATTACTGTCTCCAGGGGAATTCAATATCAGTGATGAGAGGATGCAATTTATGTTATTGTATTTGATGTATTTTATTGCTTGACACATGTACCCAAGCTTTAACTTTATAGGTAAAGAAAACCCCTTACCTAGACTTCTTTATGAACCTTATGATCTGCACTCCTGCAGTGGTAACACCTAATAGAAACAACTTAGCTGAAGTTTTTACCTAGAGGCTTCTCAGTAATTATAAGTTAAATAGCTTGTTGCTTTATATCAGTGCTGAGTATTTGCTTATTGGTGTCCAACCTACTACAGGACTGCTATTTTGAAATCACTGGAGCAGTTGATCTTACTAGGGGCTCTGACTGATGATTATAAGCTCTCAGATCCAGTTGGTCATCAGATGGCTAGGCTGCCTTTGGATCCAATGTACTCCAAGGCATTAATAGTATCAAGCAAATTCAAGTGCTTGGAAGAAATGCTCATTGTTGTATCTATGCTTTCAGTGGAATCAATTTTCTTCTCCGTGCGTGAGAAGTTAGAAGAGGTATCCATTTGAATTACTGGCAGTTTGTAAAATGTTTGTCACAATTGGGTTCTTATCTGATATTGTTGGAGTTATTCCCTCTGGTTCATTTATTTTAGGGGGCTGTATTTGCTTTGCAAACAGGTGTTGTTTTGTTGTTTCGGGGCATACTTTTCGTCAAATACTCCTGTTAGTAGCTTGTTGGTAGTGGGAACTGGGAGATAAGTGCCAGTAGGCAAACTCTAGAAGAAAAATGTACTCCATTCAGAAATATTTATCATATATAGCACTCTAGAATTTGAGTGGTCAAACTTAAGTTTCACCGCTAATCTGTGAACAGCCATTTAGATTAGACATGTGAAAAAAAAATAGTACCATCAAATTTATTACAAGACGTACATGAAAATTGATGGTCTTTGTTGTTAGGCTAAAAAAGTACCTTTAGACCTAAATCATGATTTACCATTTGCTTAATGATAAATAATCATATGCTTCAATCTATTTTTGCTCACATTTCCTTTGTGCTACCCTTTCCCTGTTGGACACAAGATAAAGAAACTCAATGTGTTTTGTGATCAGCATGACATCAGTGCGTTACTCACTTCTATTAGTGCAACAATTGACCCATTTACTTTATTGTTCTATAGGCAAGAGCTGCCAGGAAAGGTTTCGAAAGCTCCGAAGGAGACCATATCACATTGGTAAATGTCTATCGAGCAGCTGCAGAATGCTTGGAGAAGAGCAGAAATGCAAATGCCAAAGAGAAAACAATGGAAAAGGCTTTGAACAGGTGGTGCAGGGAAAACTTTATCAATTACCGTTCTCTAAGACATGCTCGCGATGTTCACAGGTTAGTTTCTAGTTTCTTCTCCATCTGCTTGACAGTACTTGTACAGAAAAACTATTGTAGGTGTGTCCTAATGAAGTAGGCAAAGCATTGCGAAAGAGGGGTAAAGATAAGTATTTTGTCTTTTTTTTGTGCGTACATACACCCCATTTTCAAAACACAATTGTAAATTTTTAAATAGTGAAAAAATATATTCTTTTTGACACAGTGTTGTGGAAAAACTTGACCATATGTCAGGTACACAAAAAGGATAAATTTGATCATATGTGAGCTGTACAAAAAGACAAAAAAAAGGGCAGACCCAGTGCCGGAGGCTCCCACATGAGTCGGGTCTGGGGAAGGGATAAACCGAAACAAGCCTTTCCCCCGCAAAATCTGCGGAGAGGCTGCTTTGAACCCACGACCTGCTGTACAAAAAGACAGAACACCTTTTCCACAGAAGGCATATGGTCAATTCTGCCATGAAATTTTGTGTCAACATTAATTATACATGATCTATATATGTGCATTTTCTTTCCGTAAATTTTAGAAATGCACAAAGTGCATTTTTGTTTTAAGTTTTCAGATATGGTGTAGGTCCTATGCTCAACCTGGCTGCACACATGAAAACATTGAATTGCAAAACAAGGGGAGGGTAGTTTGGTTTTATTATGGTTCGAGGGATTGAGCTATGAAAATCAGATTTGAATATCATTTATGTAAAAAACGAAATGGAAGACTTACGTTTTAGACTTTTAGGACTGTTTTTGACTTTATGACTACATGAAAGTCAGACTGTACAGTTTTTTTTAATACCATTTATGCTGCAATTTGACATAGCAATTTTCTGTTCTTTGCAGTCAAATTCAGGGCCATGCCCAACAAATGGGACTGAACCTATCATCATGTGGAGATGACATGGTTCTGTTTCGGAGATGCCTTACCTCTGCTTTCTTCCTGAATGCGGCGATGCGACAGCCAGATGGATCATACAGGTATCGTTCCATGTTATATGTTTTCATTCCGAATGCCCCTCATGGCCTCATGGGTATCTTTTCCCTGCATCTTGAACAAAGACTAATGTCCTAAACTAATCTGGGACTTAGATTACACCAACCAAAACTTGAAGAATGATGCATGTTAAGATTGTGATGATGACTACGATTCTCCCCATATTCAATGTTTAAGCTGTTGTTTGGCAGGGCCCTTGCAACTGGCCAGAGCGTGCAGATCCACCCTTCATCCGTGCTTTTCAGGACCAAGCCCGACTGTGTCATCTTCAACGAGCTAGTTCGGACAACACAGAATTATGTCAAGAACCTGACCCGTATTGACCCCTTGTGGCTGGCTGAGCTCGCCCCGCAGTACTACGCTACCGAGGAGTAATTGTGGATCAGTGGACATTGCGCATAGTAATATTTTATGGTATGTGAATTATTTATATTTATGCAATTCGTTATTATATTAAAGGATGGTACCACTGCCGAGCAATCTTATCCTAACAAATGCACTCGAGGGCAGTTTAAATTTGGAATTTCAAGTTTATGCCCTAACAAATGCACACCCTTGATATCAACAAAAGACTTACCTGCGATTGCTGGCCCGGTGTTGGCTCACCATTGCCTAGTTTTGTTGGAATAGTTTGTACAACTCGTCATTTGTTACGAGTGTTCGTTCACCCTTACCTAGTTCCCGAATTTTGTTATTAACATGCACCGAGATATTTAATGCCCTCCCACTTCATCTCAGCTAAACAAGAGCTGGAGAATCAAGTAGTCATGGACCACGAAAAGAAATACTCCATCCATACTTTCTTGGAGAGTCAATATCTCGTTTGACCAAATTTATATAATAAAATAATAATATTTATATAATACCAACTAAGTATAACTAGATTTTTCATTAATTATATTTTCATAGTGTACCTATTTGATGTCATAAATCTTTATTTCTATATATAATTTTGATCAAACTTGAGATGCTTTGACTCTCTAAAAAAAAGTTTAAATGACTTATAATTTGGAATGGAGGGAGTATCTTTTAAGAAGACACGAGAAATTAAGTAGTGGCACCAGCTTTAGAATAATCAATGGCTTTGACTTTCCTATTCGATGTTTAACCATTCACCTACTCTGAATATTTATACAAATGGCTAGGAATGAATGACATGTTTAGCATATTTTTGATGTACTTAAAGTACTTGCAACGTTAAATCTATTGATACTTTGGCACTGTTTGAATCACATGGTTAAAAATTTAGCCAACCTCACAAAAAAGGTCATTAGTTCATTAGACCATATAAATAAGCTAAGATGGTCTAAAGTTTAGCCCTTAACTTTAGCAAACTAAACTTTAGATCATGGGATTCAAGCATGGCCTTTCTCGCTTTGATTAACTAACTATTTAAGTAAATATTGTTAGGCGAGAGATTAAGTAGCTGAAGTCAAATATCTGACTCAAATATGAAGGAACGCAGCTAGACAAAAGTTAGCGTTGTGAAACGGAGTATATGTTTTAGGGCCAGACAAAAGGTAGCGTCGTGAAACGGAGTATATGTTTAGGGCATGTTCGGTTGTCCAGGATCCATGGCCTGGAACAATTCCTAACTAGAATGATTGAGCAATTTGTATAACAATGCATCAGCTGGATGTGTTCCTTCTAGCTCGAATAATTGAGCAATTTGTATAACAATGCATCAGGTGGATTGGTTTCTGCCTCTATTCCTGAATAACCGAACGACCCTTTAATCTTTTTCAACTAATAATAAACTGCATTAATGTTGTTGGAAAACCGGGTTTCTAGCAGGAGGAACACAGAAAGCCTCCGCCTAGCCAGGTGCCCTAGCCGAAGGTATGGAAAATGGAAGGTGGGCCTGGGCTTGATTAGGGTTTTATAAATATATTCACCAACCTCTTTTACACAGGGTGTGGCTCCACCTTTTATAGGACATTGTTTGTCACTTTATACAATTACACTTGTGCCCCCTGACAGTTCAAGCATATACCTATGAATATTCCTATCCTAGTTATCATCTTCCAGGGGCAAGACCGGGCTCCCCTTCCTTGCACCGCCTTCCACCTCATGGGCCGCTGCTGGCCCACCGGAGGCCCATTTCCGGTACGACGTGTCAGCACTGCGCAGGCTTCCTGGCCGCTAGTGGAGGCTTTCTGGGCTTCTTCTTGAAACGTGTGCGGCCTCCGTCTTCGGCTGGATCACCAGAGCCTTCGCTTTTAGCTATTCCATGAGGCCTCTGCCGCCGTCTCCTGAGCTTTCGCCCCATCGCGGGTCCCACGCGAAGGCTCCGCCCGGCATCCCTGCACAACATCGTACAAGTGTTCTAACGCAATTAGTTTGTATATTGGTGTCCCAACAAATGTGGACGAATCTATTCTATAACTGTTGTCGACTTGCGGAAGCTATGCTGTTCCAAGTCCATTTACGTGCGTCAGGTTCTTGACTCCATGGATGCCGATCGTACCTGTGATTGTTGTCCGGTCACAGTCTTGACGGGTTCGAAAACGCTGTTAATAAGCGCACTAGAAGATCAACGAATCGTCACCTCTGACGTCTCCATCTACTGGTGATGGACATTTTTTAGCACTGTATTTAATTTTGTCGTTGCGCATGCAGAGACTGCGGAGATGTTCATGTCATCGCGTCGTTCTCTGCTGCCTTCATCATCAGCCTTAACCTACTACTAAATTTCCCCAAAATTTATCATACTTTGTTTATGCCCTTCTAGAAAAGCTTCATCGTATATGCTATATATACGCCCATATGTAATTTACACTGTTGCTGACGCACTGAGATATATCCCATCAGCGATTGACCGCCCTTGTGTGTGTTATGCCTTGCCACCTTGTCGTCAACGCCAAAACGTAGGGCAATGTTCGAATAGTCACTGAGAAAAAGGAGCATGCATCTAGGTTTCCTTTGAACACAAGAATTTCGTAAAAATCATATAGAAGTTTTATAAGAACCGGTTTCATTTTAACATGAAAAAATCCACTGCTATTTCGCCATTTGGTTACGACTATTGACACGCGCTTCTACTTTTAAGCCGACTAGGCGACGAGAGGTTTTCAACTGACGGAAAAGTGAGGAGACGGGTTTTTCTATAATAAAAAAGAAAAAAAGGTACGTAGGAGGAAATGACACAAAAGTCACATAAGCTTAAGCGGTCTAAAGTTTAGTGCCTAAACTTTGGAACATGTAAGATCAAATAGGACGTAAGTAACTAAACCCCGTCACCAAAGGTGGTGTTGGCAGCAGCTTATTAGCTGATGGAGCTGTGATATAATGAGCAGGCTTTCCGTTAAAAAAAAATATCATGAGCAGGCCAACCACCCCCAGCTGCCGATCAGCCGACGGAGCCACGAGCTACCTTACCTAATGGCACGGCGCTGCACTCCCTCCTATCTGTGTGGTTTGTGGCGAGCTTGTGCTCTGCACGGTGCCTTGGCTGGCCTTCTCTTCTGTAAACATCTTTACAGCTAGGCAGGCTGTACGTGGGAAAGGGAGAGGTGGGAGCAGGTGACCCGCATTGGCACGCCTCCGCGCCGTGCCCCCCGTGCCTGCGTGATTCAAGGACGCCAACAGTAATGTAATCCATCGAATCAATCACCAATATATTTTCAAAGAAAAGGGGTTGTTCCTAACACGTGCTACCAACCTTTTGGGCAATACATGAGTATATTAAAGGTCTATTTGGATCAAAAAGTCTATAACTAGTTAGCTGATAAAAATTAGTTGATGATCTATTTAAATCCTCAGCTAATAATAAGCTCAACTCATGTCTTTCTTATCATCTAGCTAACAATTAGCTATTAGCTAATTTCTCCTAACTAATAAATACAACTAATAGTTGATTAGCTGTAAGGACGGATCCAAACATGGTCTAAGTTGTTAATAGCATGATATCTCTAGTATTTCATAAAAAAAAACTTTCCCCGCTGCTTCCAAATCGTAGTTAGGAGTCCATTAGGGTTAGGACGTTGGTATGGCCTTTAACCCTCTAATACAAGTATATATATTAGCAAACATGTCCTTGTGAAGGATACGCAATTTGTTGCCAGTGCTTTTGCCAATAATAATGAGCTGGCCATTTTCGTTTAATTTTGTCATTAGGTTTGGTCAAACCTTAAATCAAATGAATTACAAAGCACATATTAAATGCTACTATTATAAATGATTGATTCTGAATGTCAAATTAACAGGAGATTGACTCAACTTAAATAGGTAGCTATTGTGTGTACCTACTGTGAGTTTAAGAAAAGTAGGTGAGCCACATGTCCATGCGTGCGTCGTAGCACGAACGGACCCAAGAGTGAGGCCAATAGATGAGTGGTGCAATGTCAGTGAAGATTTTGCAGCCTCAAACTCAAAGCGAGAAGAGACTAAAACAGATAGAAGAGTCGCGAGTGAGGGAAGGACGAGAAATGTGTGAGTGACAGATGGACCGATAAACAAGAAGTGTTTGAGAGATGAAGAAGAACAGACCGATGAAGAACGAGAAGTGTGTGAGATGGAAAGTGAGTGAGTGGCGGATGTACGGGCAATGGGACAAGAAGGGTGCAAGAGACGGAAGAGAAGAGAAACATTTTAATACTATTATTAGGTATAGATATATGACTCATTTCACGAGAAATAGACGTGAGAATGTATTAGTATATTAAAGGCACCGGAGAGTCGCACTAATTATAGAATCGGTGGAGTTGCTTTATCGTGTTTATTACTAAATTTTATTTACTTACAGAAGTGACTTTTTTTAAAAAGAAAATAGCTACCGTGTTTGTTACCGGCATAATAAGGCTCCATTTAGCACAACTCCTCTATCAAATGGAGGAGCCGGTAGGATTTGTTTTGTGCAAAACGAGGCAAAAATAAATAGCTCTGTCTAAGGAGCTCCTTATAATGTGCTCTCACAAAAGATGGATGAGAGATGAAACTGAAAATTGTAGCTTCTCCCATGTGTGAGATTCTGTGAGAGCATGTTTTAAAGACCTTCACACGTAGAATTATTTTATCCAACGTTCGCCGAAACAGCTTCACCGGTAAAGATACTCGTCGAGCTAAACACGAAAAAATATCTCCAGCTTCAACGATAGAGCTACTCGTGGAGCGAAAACAAAAAAAAAAAGCTTTACTAACAAGGTGAACCTTTGCCAAACGAAACCTAAAACAGCAGGCTGCATCGTTATAAGCCACAGTAACAACTAACAACACACTATTTTTTTTACGGAGATAAATCCCTGCTTTTTAAGAAAGCAACAGAACGTGTTTACAACGAATCCACACACTTACGCTGGGATTACCAGCTTACAATATCGGCACACTGCCAAGCAGCAACCAACAAAACGAACACAAACGCCTACATAATAACTAAA